ACTTTCCACCCCCCAAACCCTCCCTACTCCGCCAAGCCTTCTCTTCTTACCCATCCCCTAAGCCCTCCTTTGTCCCCCACAACCCTAAGCCCTCCCTTCTCTCCCACCCCCCTATCCCCCTCCCTTCTCCCCCACCCCCCCTAAGCCCTTCCTTTTCCCCCAACCCCACTAAGCCCTCCTTTTTCCCTCACCCCCCTCCAAGCCCTCCATTCTCCCTCACCCCCCCCCCTCTAAACCCTCCTTTCTCCCTCACCCTCCCTCCAAGCCCTCCCTCTTCTTTTGCCATCACAAGCCCTCCTTTCTCCCCCTCCCCCTAAGCCCTCCTTTCAACCCACCACCAAGCCCTCTCTCCTCCCCTACCCCCTCAAGCTCCCCTCTTTTTCCAACCCTCCCAAGCCCTCCCTTCTCCTCCACCCCCTCCAAGCCCACCCTTCGCCCCCACCCACGCCAAACCAGATCCGCCCAGGCCCCTCACAACCCAGGTCCCCCTTACCCTCAGCTCCCCTCACAACCCAGGTCCCCTCCCTAGCCCCTCCCCATCTCTGACCCTTCAGGTTTACCTACTACAGTGGAATCAACAGGAACTGAGGATGGACAGAAAAGAATTAGCTTCAATGTGATGTAGTCGAACATAGATGGGATTTCAAGCAAGGCAAGTGAACTTGGGGAAAGAGCACAAGAAGTAAACCCAGATGTAATTGGATTAACGAGAAACAAAACTCTCAGGAATCATAACAAATGCAGTGTTCCCCCAGGACTACACTGAAATAAGGAAAGAAAGAGAGGGCAGGGGAGGAAGCAGAGTGGCCCTACTCTTGAGAAAGGAATAGAGTTTCAAGGAGATTGTTTCCCCAGGCTGCTAGGGATTTAAAGACTACATAACAGGCACCATGACGATGGGAGGACCAAGAGTCGTAGTAGCAGTTATATATAACCCTCCACCAAATGACAGACGACCCTGGCAAGAGTATGACAGAAACAACAAAGCAGTTAACAATATTTTTGAGAGGGCAGCCTCTGCTGCCTGCAGAATTCGATCCCATCTGCTCATAATGAGGGTACTTTAATAACGGAAGGATAGACTGGGAGAACAAGGAACCACATGGAGGAGAGGAAACATGGAGAGCTAAAGTACTGGAGGTGGCAACAAAAAAAAATTAAGCCAGCATATCAGAGAACCCACAAGAATGAGAGGAAACGATGAACCAGCAAGACTCGACCTAGTCTTCACTCTGAATGACTCTGACACAAGGGAAATTGACTTCGAGGCCCCAGTAGGAATGAGCGATCACAGTGTACTGACGTTTGAGTATCTGGTCGAAGAAGGGTTAAAGTACTCGAGAAAGGGAGATGAAAGCAAAAGGCTAGCATTCCGTAAGGGAAACTATGAGCAGATATGAAAATTCCTAACAGATATAACTTGGGAAACAGAGCTCAGGGGAAAGACGGCCCAAGACATGATGGAATACATCACACAGAAGTGTAAGGAGGTAGCAGAAAAGTTTATCCCGGCACGAAAGGAAAAAAAAGAAATGCAGATGAGAAACCCATGGTTTAATCAGAGATGTAAACTAGCTAAGCAACTAAGTAAAAGAGCATGGAGAAACTGTAGAAATAACAGGACACTTGAGAGCAGAGAAGGATACCAGAGAGCCAGGAAAGAATATGCCAGGGTGAGAAGAGAGGCAGAAGGGCAATATGAAAACGACATAGCAAACAAGGCTAAGACTCAACCTAAATTGCTGCTCAGCCACATCAGGAGGAAAACCACAGTGAAGGAACAGGTAATGAAACTGAGGATAGGGGCAGACAGATTCACTACAAATGACAATGAAGTGTGCGAGGAACTCAATAAGAAATTTCAGGAAGTCTTCACATTAGAGCCAGGAGAAGTTCCAGAGATAAGAGATGGAATAGTTAACCAGGCACCACTAGAGGATTTGAGATTACTAGTGGAGATGTAAGGAAGCTTTTGCTAGAGTTGGATGCGACAAAGGCTATAGACCCGGATGGAATATAGCCATGGATACTAAAGTAAGGAGCAGAACACTGTGCCAGCCACTCTCCATTGTGTATAACAAAGCTCTGGTAACAGGTGAACTGCCAGAAATTTGGAAGACGACAAACGTAGTCCTGATATACAAGAAGGGGAATAGACAGGAGGCACTGAACTACAGGCCAGTGTCCTGAACTTGCATACCATGCAAGTTATTGGAGAAAATTGTGTGAAAAAAGCTAGTGGAACATCTGGATCGATGGAATTTTGTGACACAACACCAACATGGTTTCAGGGATGGCAAGTCATGCCTCACAGGATTAATTGAATTCTACGATTAGGCAACAAGAATCATGCAGGAAAGAGAGGGGTGGGCAGACTGCATATATTTGGATTGCCAGAAAGGCTTTGACACATTACCACATCTGAGACTAGTGCGAAAGCTGGAGATGCAAGCATGAGTGAAAGGGAAGGTACTCCATTGGATAAGTGAGTACCTAAGTAACAGAAGACAGGGAGTCTCTGTGAGGGGTGAGGTCTCAGACTGGCGAGACGTCACCAGTGGAGTCCCGATGGGTTCAGTCTTTGGACACATACTGTTTCTGATATATGTAAATGATCTGCCAGAGGGTATAGAATCATTTCTCTCATGTTTGCTGATAATGCAAAAATTATGAGGATGATTAAGACGGAGGAAGATAGTATGAGGCTTCAAGATGACCTAGACAGACTGAATGAATGGTCCAACAAATGGCTACTAAAGCTCAACCCGAGTAAATGTAAGGTAATGAAACTAGGCAGTGGAAACAGGTCAGACACAGGATACAGAATAAGAGATGAGGTCCTTCATGAAATGGACAGAAAGAAAGATCTATGAGTTGATATCACACCATACCTGTCTCCTGAAGCCCTCATCAAGAGAATAACACCTGCGGCGTATGCGAGGCTTCCTAACCTCAGAACTGTCTTCAGGAACCTGTGTAAGGAATCATTCAAAGCCTTGAATACCTCATATGTAAGACCAATCCTGGAGTATGCGGCCCCAGCATGGAGCTCGTACCTTGTCAAGCACAAGGCGAAGTTGGAAAAAGTTCAGAGGTATGCCACTATTCTTTTCCCAGAACTAAGAGGCATGAGTTACGAGGAAAGGATGCGGGAAATTCACCTCACCACACTGGAAGACAGAAGAGTAAGGGGAGACATGATCACTACCTACAAAATTATCCGTTGAATTGACAGGGTAGATAAAGATTACCTGTTTAACACGGGTGGTACGCGAACAAGGGGGACACAGGTGGAAACTGAATACCCATATTGAGTCACAGGGACGATAGAAAGAACTTTTTCAGTGTCAGAGTAGTTAACTTATTAAACGCAATAAGGAAGTGATGTGGTGGAGGCTGACTCCATACACAGTTTCAAATGGAGATATGACAGAGCCCATTAGGCTCAGGTAATGTGTACACCAGTTGATTGACAGTTGAGAGGCGGGACCAAAGAGCCAGAGCTCAACCCCCGCAAGCACAAATAGGTGAGTACAAATAGGCGAGAACAGTGACCGACGCATGTAACACTCTCCTCCTCCCACAGTGACTAATGAATGTAACACGTTACTCCTCCCACAGTGACCAACGCATGTAACATGCTCCTCCTCCCACAATGACCCACGCATGTATCACGCTCCTCCTCCCACAATGACCCACGCATGTATCACGCTCCTCCTCCCACAGTGACCAACGCATGTAACATGCTCCTCCTCCCACAGTGACCCACGCATGTAACATGCTCCTCCTCCCACAGTAACCAACGCATGTAACACGCTCCTCCTCCCACAGTGACCCACGCATGTAACATGCTCCTCCTCCCACAGTAACCAACGCATGTAACATGCTCCTCCTCCCACAGTGACCCACGCATGTAACATGCTCCTCCTACCACAGTGACCAACGCACGCTCCTCCTCCCACAGTGACCCACATGTAACATGCTCCTCCTACCACAGTTACCAACGCATGTAACACGCTCCTCCTCCCACAGTGACCCACGCATGTAACATGCTCCTCCTCCCACAGTAACCAACGCATGTAACATACTGCTCCTCCCACAATGACCCACACATGTATCACGCTCCTCCTACCACAGTGACCCCCATGTAACAGTGACCCACGCATGTATCACGCTCCTCCTACCACACGCATGACCCACGCATGTATCATGCTCCTCCTCCCACAGTAATGCTGCTTCTCCCCACGCATGTATCACGCATGTATAACATGCTGCTTCTCCCGCTCCTCCCCAGTACCACAATGATCCACGCATGTAACACGCTCCTCCCACAGTGACCCACGCATGTAACATGCTCCTCCTCCCACAGTAACCAACGCATGTAACATGCTCCTCCTCCCACAATGACCAACGCATGTATCACGCTCCTCCTCCCATAGTGTCCCACGCATGTAACATGCTCCTCCTCCCACAGTAACCAACGCATGCAACATGCTCCTCCTCCCACAATGACCCACGCATGTATCACGCTCCTCCTACCACAGTGACCCACGCATGTATCACGCTCCTCCTCCCACAGTGTCCCACGCATGTAACATACTGCTCCTCCCACAGTGACCCACGCATGTATCACGCTCCTCCTCCCACAGTGTCCCACACATGTAACATACTGCTCCTCCCACAGTGACCCACGCATGTATCACGCTCCTCCTCCCACAGTGTCCCACGCATGTAACATACTGCTCCTCCCACAGTGACCCACGCATGTAACATGCTCCTCCTCCCACAGTGTCCCACGCATGTAACATACTGCTCCTCCCACAGTGACCCACGCATGTAACATGCTCCTCCTCCCACAGTGTGACCCACGCATGTACATACTGCTCCTCCCACAGTGACCCACGCATGTAACATGCTCCTCCTCCCACAGTGTCCCACGCATGTAACATACTGCTCCTCCCACAGTGACCCACGCATGTAACATACTGCTCCTCCCACAGTGACCCAGACAAGGCCAACATATCAGAGGTACAAGCAGATAGACAGATCAACAGTCCCATCATTGGAGCAACAGTTAGAAACAACTCTATCTGGAAATCACGTAAGTTGTGTGTTATGTGTCATATGTACACCGCTTGGGTGGCATGTGTCATATGTACACCGCTTGGGTGTCATGTGTCATATGTACACCGCTTGAGTGGTATGTGTCATATGTACACCGCTTGGGTGTCATGTGTCATATGTACACCACTTGGGTGTCATGTATCATATGTACACCGCTTGGGTGTCATGTGTCATATGTACACCGCTTGAGTGTCATGTGTCATATGTACACCGCCTGGGTGTCATGTGTCATATGTACACCGCTTGGGTGTCATGTGTCATATGTACACCGCTTGGGTGTCATGTGTCATATGTACACCGCTTGGGTGTCATATGTCATATGTACACCGCTTGGGTGTCATGTGTCATATGTACACCGCTTGAGTGTCATGTGTCATATGTACACCGCTTGGGTGTCATGTGTCATATGTACACCGCTTGGGTGTCATGTGTCATATGTACACCGCTTGGGTGTCATGTGTCATATGAACACCGCTTGAGTGTCATGTGTCATATGTACACCGCTTGAGTTTCATGTGTATAACGCTTGTGTGTAATGTGTACAACGCCTGGGTGTCATGTTTCATGTGTACAACGCTTGGGTGTCATGTGTCATATGTACACCGCTTGGGTATCATGTGTCATGTACACCGCTTGAGTGTTATGTGTCATATGTACACTGCTTGGGTGTCATGTGTCATATGTACACCGCTTGGGTGTCATGTGTCATATGTACACCGCTTGGGTGTCATGTGTCATATGTACACCGCTTGGGTGTCATGTGTCATATGTACACCGCTTGAGTGTCATGTGTGCAACGCTTGTGTGTCATGTGTGCAACGCCTGGGTGTCATGTTTCATGTGTACAACGCTTGGGTGTCATGTGTCATATGTACACCGCTTGAGTGTTGTGTGTCATATGTACACCGCTTGAGTGTTGTGTGTCATATGTACACCGCTTGGGTGTCATGTGTCATATGTACACCGCTTGGGTGTCATGTGTCATATGTACACCGCTTGAGTTTCATGTGTATAACGCTTGTGTGTAATGTGTACAACGCCTGGGTGTCATGTTTCATGTGTACAACGCTTGGGTGTCATGTGTCATGTGTACACCGCTTGGGTGTCATGTGTGTACAACGCTGAGTGTTATGTGTCATATGTGTGCTTGGGTGTTATGTGTCATATGTACACCGCTTGAGTTTCATGTTTCATGTGTACAACGCTTGGGTGTCATGTGTCATGTGTGCAACGCTTGGGTGTCATGTGTGCAACGCTTGGGTGTCATGTGTGCAACGCTTGGGTGTCATGTGTGCAATGCTTGGGTGTCATGTGTGCAACGCTTGGGTGTCATGTGTGCAACGCTTGCATGTCATGTGTCATGTGTGCAACGCTTGGGTGTCATGTGTGCAACGCTTGGGTGTCATGTGTGCAACGCTTGGGTGTCATGTGTGCAACGCATGTGTCATGTGTGCAACGCTTGGGTGTCATGTGTGCAACGCTTGCATGTCATGTGTGCAACGCTTGGGTGTCACGTGTGCAACGCTTGGGTGTCATGTGTGCAACGCTTGAGTGTCATGTGTGCAATGTGTCATGTGTGCAACGCTTGGGTGTCATGTGTGCAATGTGTGCAACGCTCATGTGTCATGTGTGCAACGCTTGGGTGTCACGTGTGCAACGCTTGAGTGTCATGTGTCATGTGTGCAACGCTTGCATGTCATGTGTCATGTGTGCAACGCTTGGGTGTCACGTGTGCAACGCTTGCATGTCATGTGTCATGTGTACAACGCTTGCATGTCATGTGTCATGTGTACAACGCTTGAGTGTCATGTGTCATGTGTACAACGCTTGGGCTCTCTGTACTACACGTAAAGTGTAATACAGGTAGACCGCTTATTGAAGGATGCGGCTTGATGGGGAGCATGAGTGAGGAAGTCTGAGATGGGGAGCATGAGACGGGAAGTCTGAGATGGGGAGCATGAGTGAGGAAGTATGAGATGGGGAGCATGAGACGGGAAGTCTGAGATGGGGAGCATGAGTGAGGAAGTCTGAGATGGGGAGTATGAGTGAGGAAGTCTGAGATGGGGAGCATGAGTGAGGAAGTCTGAGATGAGGAGCATGAGTGGGGAAGTCTGAGATGAGGAGCATGAGTGAGGAAGTATGAGATGGGGAGCATGAGTGAGGAAGTCTGAGATGGGGAGCATGAGTGAGGAAGTATGAGATGGGGAGCATGAGTGAGGAAGTCTGAGATGGGGAGCATGACTGGGTAAGTCTGAGATGGGGAGCATGTGTGAGGAAGTCTGAGATGGGGAGCATGTGTGAGGAAGTCTGAGATGGGGAGCATGAGTGAGGAAGTCTGAGATAGGGAGCATGAGTGAGGAAGTCTGAGATGGGGAGCATGAGTGAGGAAGTCTGAGATGGGGAGCATGAGTGGGGAAGTCTTAAATGGGGACCATGAGAGGGGAAGTCTGAGATGGGGAGCCTGAGTTGGGAAGTCTGAGGTGGGGAGCCTGAGTTGGGAAGTCTGAGATGGGGAGCATGAGTGTGGAAGTCTGAGATGGGGAGCATTAGTAGGGAAATTAGAGATGGGGAGCATGAGTGGGTAAGTCTGAGATCTGGAGCATAATTGGGGAAGTCATAGATGAGAAGCATTTGGGGGAAGTCTGAGATCGGGAGCATGAATGAGGTAGTCTGAGATGGGGAGCATCTCAGTGGTGAGGGAACAAGATTGAGGGAGGAGGTCAGTGGAGCGGGAGCATGAGTGAGGGAGGAAGTCAATGGTGGGGGAGGGTGAGTGATGGAAGAAGTCAGTGGTGGGTGAGCATGAGTGAGGGATGAAAGCAATGGAGGGGAGCATGATTGAGGGAGGAATTCAATGGTGGGGGAGCATGGGTGTGGGATGAAGTACATGGTGGGTGGGCATGAATGCGGGAGGAATTCAGTCTTTGGGGAGTATGAATGTGGGAGGAAGTCAAGGGTAGGGAAGTGTGAGATGGGAAGCATGAGTGAGGAAGTCTAAGATGTGGAGCATGAGTGGGGAAGTGTAAGATGGGAGATGGGAAGCATGAGTGAGGAAGTCTGATATGTGGAGCATGAGTGAGGCAAGTTTGAGATAAGGAACATGAGTGAGGCAAGTCTAAGATGGGGAGCATGAGTGGGGAAGTCTGTGATGGGTAGCATGAGTGAGGAAGTTTGAGTTGTGGACCACGAATGAGGGAAGTCTTAGATGGGGAGTATGAGAGGGAAAATCTGAGATGTGAGCATGAGTGATTGAAGTTTGAGATGGGGACCATGAGTGAGGAAAGTTTGAGATGAGGAGCATGAGTGAGGAAGTCTGATATGTGGAGCATGAGTGAGGAAGTCTGAGATGGTGAGCATGAGTGATTGAAGTCTAAGATGGGGAAGCATGAGTGGGGAAGTCTACGATGGAGGGCATGAGTGAGGAAGTCTAAGATGGGGAGCATAAGTGGGGAAGTCTGAGATGGGGAGCACGAATGAGGGAGGAAGTCAGTGATGGGAGAGAGAGGAAGAATGCTGAATAAATCAGAGGCTGGGGAGCAAGACTGTGGGAGGAAGTCAGAGGCTAGGGAGCAAGATTGTGGGAGGAAGTCAGTGATGGGGAGCATGAATGCGGGAGGAATTCAGTAGTCGGGAAGGAAGATTGAGAGTGGAAGTCAGTGGTGGGGGAGCAAGATTGTGGGAGGAAGTCAGTGATGGGGAGCATGAATGCGGGAGGAATTCAGTAGTCGGGAAGGAAGATTGAGAGTGGAAGTCAGTGGTGGGGGAGCATGAGTGACGGAGATAGTCAATAGTGGGGGAGCATGAGTAATGGAGGAAGTCAGTAGCGGGAGATCATGAGTGAGCGATGGTGTCATTGGTGGGGAGCATGAGAGAGGAATGACGTCAGTGTTGGGGGGAGTATGAGTGATGGAGGTAGTCAGTGGTAGGGGGAGTATGAGTGAGGGAGGAAGTCAGTAGTCGGGGAGTATGAGTGAGGGAGGAAGTAAGTGGTGGGGAAACATGGGTGAGGGAGATAGTCAGTGTTAGGGGAGCATGAGTGTAGGAGGAAGCCAGTGGTGGAGGAGCATGAGTGAGGGAGGAAGTTAATGGTGGGGGAGAATAATTGAGGGAGGAAGTCATTGATGGGGGAGTATGAATGCTGGAAGAAGTCAGTGGTAGGGGAGCATGAGTGAAGGAGCATGAGTGAGGGAGGAGGGCATTGGTGTGGTAGCATGAATGCGGGAGGAAGTCAGTGATGGGGCAGCATGAGTAGGGGTGGAAGTCAGTGTTGAGGAGCATGAATGTGGGATGATGTCAGTGGTGGGGAGTAGTAGGGAGTATAGTCCACACGGGATTTTTTTTTAAATTCCGGTGTGGACAGCAGGGGGGGGGGGTCCAGGTGAATTGGGCCATTCTCATGTGGACTGCAGGGGCTCCCGGTCAAATATCCCGTTTACGCTGTCGAGTTTCCTGATAAATTTCCGATTTTGAGTTAAAAATTCTTATGAGAAAAATAGTTTCAGAGATCTTAGAAGTTTGTTAAGAATTCATATGGGAGAAATTCAAAATATTTCTGTGTTCAGTTTCATGAAAATATTTTAAAGTTCATATAATCATTGATATATCTTTACGAGTGTAAGACCGAAATTATTCAAAAAGATTATTCTCAGAGAATATTGTCATGGAAATTTTGTTAAGGAAAATAGACATCTTAGCCGTTACTTTTAGATTTCATATCTATTTACAGCTGTTTCACCTAAAAAAGACCAACAATTATTCAGCGACCATTTTAAGACCGATTTTTCTTCAGAGACCATTTATGACCAAAAATATGACAAAGCCCCATATGAAGACCGAAATATACCGAAATTTGCCAGATTATTTTAGACCCAAATATGACAGAAACCATTTTAGACCAAATAATTTCAAAGACCATATAAGACCGAAATGAGACACAGATTATTTATGACCCGAATATTGTCAGATTCCAGTAAAAGACCTAAATTATTCAGATTCCAGTAGAAATCCGAAAATAGTCAGAGTCCATTTAAGACAAAAAATTAGTCTGAGACCAGTTTAAGCTCAAAATTTAACAGAGACCACTTTACAAGCAAAGATTAACAGCTAAACAGAGTTATGTTAGGTTGGATTGGGTTATGTTAGGTTAGGTACGATATGTTGAGTTAGGTTTGGTTAGGTTAAGTTAGGTTAGGTTAGGTTCAGTTAGGTTACGTTAGGTTAGGTTAGGTTAGGTGAGGTTGGCTTCGGTTAGATAAATTATGTTAGGTGAGGTTGGCTTGGGTTAGATAAGTTATGTTAGAATAGGATAGGTAAGATGCATTAGGTTAGGATAGGTTAAGCTAGGTTAGGTTAAGTTAGGTTTGGTTGGCTTGGATTATGATTGATTAGTTAAGTTATGTTAGGTTAGGTTAGGTTAAGTTAGGTTAGGTTAGGTTGGGTTATGTTAGGTTATGTTGGGTTGGATAAGTTATGTTTGGATAGGGTAGGTAAGTTGCATAAGGTTAGGATAGGTTAAGTTAGGTTAGGTTAAGTTAGGTTAGGGTGGGTTGAGTTATTTTAGTTAAGTTAAGATAGGTTAAGTTAGGTTAGGTTAAGTCAGGTTAGGCTGGGTTATGTTAGGTTAGTTAAGTTAGGATAGGTTAGGTTATGCAAGTTAAATTAGGTTAGGTTAGGATAAGTTAGGTTAGGTAAGATTCATTAAATTAGGATAGGTTAGGATATGGAAGTTAAGGTAGGTCAAGTTTGGTTAGGTTAAGTTAGGTTGGGACTGGATAGGTTAGTTGCATTAGGTTAGGTTAGGTTAAATTAGATTATGTAAGTTAGGTTAGGTAAGTTACATTAGGTTAAGTTTGTTAGCTTAGGTTAGGTAAGTTTGATTAGGTAAGTTACATCAGTTAGGGTAGGAATAGGATAGAATAGATTAGATTAGGTAAGATATATGTTTTACCAGAAGTGCAAGTTTGATATGAAAAGCTGAACTAGTTACATTTTGGAGAGATATGTTATGCCTGAAGATGTCTTAGAAAATAACATTGATGTCTTAGCGAATAACTTTGATAACGAAAGTGAGTTAGGGATTACCTTTGAAAACTCTGAGAATAACTTTTGATGACTGAGACTAACTTTTGATGACTCTGAGAATGACTTTGATGCACGAAAGTGAGTTAGTTATTACCTTTGATCACTGTGAGAATAACTTTTGATGACTCTGAGAATGACTTTGAGGACATGAGTTGTATTTTGATGACTGTGAGAATAACCTTTGAGGGCATGACTAGCCTTTTCGACGTCTTTGAGTGTGTCTTTGATGTCTCGAAAAGTGTCTTTGATGTCTAGAAAAGTGTCTTTGACTATTTTTTCTTACTTAACGACATAAAATTTTAGTTAAGAACAGTGTTGAAAGATTCTCTTTGACTATTTTTCTACTCCACGAAGTATACTGTTAGTTATGTAAGTGCTGAAAGAAGTTACATTTGACTATTTTTAGTTGAGGGGAAGAATAATTTTAGTTAAGAAAAGAGAAGAAAACATGATGAACATGGATATTTTTAGCTGAGAGGAAGAGTTATTTTAGTTACTAAACGACAAGAAAAGATATTAAACATGACTATTTTTCTGTTGATTGACGAATATTTTAGTTACGAAACGACAAGAAAAGATGATGAACGTGGCTATTTTCAGTTGATTGAGGATGGATAAAGTTAGATATGAACAGTGTTGGACAATTCCTTTGACTATTTATAGCTAAGAGAAAAAGGCTATATTAGTTAAGAACAGTATAGAAAAAGGCTATTTTAGTTAAGAACAGTATAGAACAAGGTTAATCCTGACTATTTTTAGTTGACTGACGAATAATTTAGCTAAGAAAAGATGAATGCGATATTTTTAGTTGATTTACAATGGATAAAGTTAGTTAAGAACAGTGTTGGTAAGAAATATTAAGTTGATAAAAAGAAATACATTGATGTAGTTTTGCAAAAAATCTGGATTACTGACTAAATTTGTTGGAGGAACTGCAATGCAGCTGACTTGACAAAACTTGCTACTTGACAAAAGAACTAGTTACTGAACGGAAGAAACAATTGTACTTTTTATTTTAAAGAACATGTAAGAAAATACGTTGAACATAGTGAACATACGGAGAACATGACAAGGAACACAAAGAACATATAAGAGAATGCCTTGAACATAGTCAACATTCGGGGAAAGGACAAAGAATACATAGAACATGTAAGAGAATGAGATGAACACAGTGAACATTTGGGAATATAAACTTACAGTGATTATGCGGGGAATATGAGCTTACAGAGAACATGAAAACATGATAAAGAACATTGCGAACACAGAGAATGATCAATGAACTTGTGAAGAACATGCTAAGAGCATTATGAGAACATACAGAATATGACAAAGAAAGCAGAAAAGAAGTAAGTGAAGGTGATGAACAAAGTGAACTTGTGAGAAACATGAACTTGTAGAGAACATGAATATTGACAAAGAACACATAAAACATGGAAAAGAACATGAATATTGAGTATAAACGTTGTTCAGAGAACGTGTGATGAACTTGTAAAGAACATGCTAAGAACATTATGAGAACATGACAAAAAAGCAAAAAAAAATGTGACTAGAATTTGTAGAGAACATTATGAGACTATGAGAAAGGTCCCAGAAAAATGGAGAAACTGATGCAAAATATGAACTGAACATGCTGTGAAGAACATGCTAAGAGCATTATGAGAACATACAGAATATGACAAAGAAAGCAGAAAAGAAGTAAGTGAAGGTGATGAACAAAGTGAACTTGTGAGAAACATGAACTTGTAGAGAACATGAATATTGACAAAGAACACATAAAACATGGAAAAGAACATGAATATTGAGTATAAACGTTGTTCAGAGAACGTGTGATGAACTTGTAAAGAACATGCTAAGAACATTATGAGAACATGACAAAAAAGCAAAAAAAAATGTGACTAGAATTTGTAGAGAACATTATGAGACTATGAGAAAGGTCCCAGAAAAATGGAGAAACTGATGCAAAATATGAACTGAACATGCTGTGAAGATTTGCAGAACATAGAGTGAACACTGAAAACATGGATGAGAATGCGCAGAACACAGTGAATATAGCGAAAATATACAAATACAGTAAGATTATTGAAGGTTTGGATAAGTTAGGGAAGGGGGGAGATAAAGGGGGAGGTAAGGGATGAGAAGGTAAGGGGGGGGGGGAAGTTAGATGTAATTTGACCGTGTGATTATTGCTTAGTTGAGTAAGCAAAAGGTATTGAGAGTAGGGTGCGAGCTGACCGTGTGAATATTAGCTCGTTTGTGATTATTTACATAGCTGAGTACAAGAAGGGTATTAAAGGACGGGATGTTTACTTAGATAGACTGGAGAGCATCTTGATCTGAATTAAATTTGATGAACTAAAGTGGAGGACGGGAGCTGAAGCCCGTTTAATGTCTTGATTTATTTTACTACGTTAGAAATATAGCGATCCTGAATCTTGGGGATTTGGGCTGATATAATGAATTTACAGGAGTAAACTAAGGAAGGGGACAAATACTATAACTCAGTAATTGCCTTGGCCTTATTTACTGCATCTGAAATAGCTACGTTTTAAATTTTAAGGGATTTGGTCTGATAAAAAAGAAGATACGCGAGGGAACTAAGGTGGGGGACAGAAGCTGGCGCTCGATAATTATTTGAATCTATTTTACTATGTCTGAAATACAGAGTTTCTAAATTTCAGGGAAATTGGTCTTGCTAAAGTAGATATACAAATGAACTAAGGTGGGAGGACAAGAGCTGGAACTCGGTAAAGGTGTTTTCTTTACTTACTCAGAAGTATGGCGGGTTTAAATTTTAGAAAAATTGATGGGTTATTAACGAAGATACGAGAGAAAACTAAGGCTGAGGACAAGAGCTGGAGCCAAGTAATTGTTTGGATTTATTGTCCTACGTTTGAAATATGTCACTTTAAAATTTCATGGAGATTGGACTGTAAGTAAAGATGTTATGGGGTAATGTAAGGCGGGGACAGGAGCTAAAACGTGATTACTGACTTTATTTTATTTACTACGTCTGAAATATAACTGTTTAAAATTAGGCTAAAATTGGGCTATTAATAGCAAAACTATCCTTATAAATGTGGTCTCTAATGACTTTGGTCTTAAAATGGTCTCTGTCATTTTTTTGGGTCTCAACTGGACCTTGATAATATTTGAAATTCCCTAAAAACTCTTTAAGAACGCAGGCGTAAGTAAAACTGCATTATTTTGGTCTAAAAGTGGTCTCTGACTAATTTTGGTCATTAATTGGTTTGAAAATGGTCTCTGAATATTTTGGGGCTTAAACTGGACTCTGTTAATTTTTGCTTTTAGAGTGGTCTCTGTTAATTTTGGACTTGAACTGGTCTCAGACTAATTTTCGGTCTTAAATGGGACTGACTTTTTTTGGATTTCTACTGCACTCTGAATAATTTAGGTCTTTTACTGGAATCTGACAATATTCGGGTCATAAATAATCTGTATCTCATTTCGGTCTTATATGGTCTTTGAAATTATTTGTTCTAAAATGGTATATTTCGGTCTTCAAATGGGACTCTGTCATTTTTTTGGGTCATAAATGGTCTCTGAAGACAATCTTTCTTCAAATGGTTGCTGAATAATTTTTGGTCTTTTCCATGTGAAATAGCTGTAAACGGATATAAAAACTAAAAGTCACTGCTAAGATGTCTATTTTCCTTAACAAAACTTCTATAACAATATTCTCTGAAAACTGTCTTTTTGAATAATTTCCGTCTTACACTCGTAAATATATTTCTATGATTACATGAAATCTAAAATATTTTCATAAT